TGTGTGTGTGTGTGTGTGTGTGTGTGTGTGTGTGTGTGTGTGTGTGTGTACTTCTGTGTCAGCTTAGTGCTTTTATTCGAGACACCAGTTTATTCACCCTAGATGTATCGAGAGTATGAAAAATACCAAACCTGTGGATAATGGATGATAATACTCTATTTTGAATTTGTTTGTGTGTGTAGGTGGATGAATGCTGATTGTTAAAACAAAACAACAAATGTGCCAAAGGGGAGTGTGGGAAACTGTAGGGTGTGTTTATGTGTGCTTAGAAGCAGATCGCATCTACCCAGAGCTGATGGGAGTCTCCAGGGACGAGTGGGTGGGCAGGAGTACGGTTAACGACACTCATTTAATTCCCTTCCCCTCCCACAGCAATTACTGTCGCCCATCAGTCAGTCTTTGCTAATGAGTTGCAATGACTATACCATTCTTCCGAACTTGTTACGCAACCGGTAACTGCTTCCTGTTCTTTCCGATGGTATTCAAACCCTCAAAACCACTATTGAATGAACTGCCGGGGCCTTGTTACTATGAAGACAGGCTGCACAACTATGTCGCCCCAAAGCTCCCCCTCAGTTTGCATCTAAAAGGTCAACTTTAATGGACAGCCCTGTCTGTCTGATAGGTTGTTTACGACGATGCTGTTACATGTTTGTGTGTATATGTGTGTTGATGTGAGAGATGTTTCCATACCTCCCACTCAGTGAAATATTGCACATTGTGGGAGAAAGCAGCAGCTATTTTGTACATGCCTCAAAGGCGTAAGATATTCTTATTGAGCATTTCTCACATGTTTACTCGGAAGGAATATATTCTACCATAAACACTCTATTGGTATTTGGCCATGCAGATTGTCCTGGTTGTATTTAGTCAAGTTTTGAGACATATGTTACTTGCATCTTCTGCAGTAGGCCATATTGTTGGGGAATGGATAATTAACAATGTCCAGGTTACTCAGGACAATCCACTGACTTCACTGTGAGCACATTTCTACCAACCTCTGAATGCTGACTTGTCCAAGACAACCTGAATGTCACTTGACTTCAATTTTATTTCTCAATTAAATGTTCTCACTTCACTGACACATCACTTCCACGCGATATAAGAAAGCACCCCCAATCAAAGATCTTCTAACAAGCCCTTTAGCACTTTGTTCAGAAATTTTCCCAACTACATTCCTGGCATCTCTGAATATATCTGTAGTTATGTCCTCCTATACCTTACAGTATTTGAAAAGTATCCCTTTATAGTAATCTTCAACAGCTATGGTGAGATTGTCATTAATGCGTAGAGAGCACATGGGTATATTTATCATCCCTGCCCTCCATCATACACATACCGTCTCTGGTCCTACTTGCTTAATAGGTGATGTAGGGTAATATGCTCCATGGACAGGGATTAGGGTCATGGTGCAGTCGCTGCATCCCTGATTCCCATCAAGTCTGCCTCCGAGTGGACTCAACAAGCAGATGTCTCTCTAGGTTTCTCCTCTCTTGACTCAACCTGATCTGGTCAGCTTGTGTTGATCCTTTGAATTGACAGGAAACAAAGAATATCAAAGGGACTATCAAAGGGCAGGAAAGGGCATCAGTCCAAAGCCTTTCAATGGCATCTCTATATTAATCTATATTAAACCTAAAGGGGTTACGGAGGGCATGATTTATCCACCCACTCTCCGCACCCTATCCCTCATCTTCCCCACCACCCCCCTCTCCAACCCTCCCCAATTCAGGCTCTGGGTTAAACGTCAAACTACGACCTTTGACACAGCATCTGTTTGTGGGTAAACATTAGCAGTCTGAGGGACTGTCAACATACACTGCCCGGAAGAACATCTTGTTGAATGGCACAAAGCATAGTAGGACTGGGCAAGAGGGTGCAGTGATCTTTCCCTTGCACGAGGACAGGAATATCACTGTAGAGGTGTGACTCAGTTTGCCCAATGACGTGAATTGTCAAATGTATTACATTTATTTCTGTTTCTTTCAAAGTTGCATGCCCAAAGCAGTTTGTTGATGTTTGTAGTGGCAAAAACTAAAGGAAAGAAATTATTGAAATAAGATGAACTGCATCACTTGAAACCACAGATCGTAATTACAGTTTGGACACAATGAATGGACCTCTGTCTTCTGCAGGCTGCGAATGTGTTTGTTGCTCCCTGTTTGTGACAGTCCAGGCGTTTTGATTAGTTAATGACTCGACAGAAACATTTTCTTGTTGTGTATCTGTCGACAGCAGTTTAGCACAAAGTCTCCTTTCATGTTCCTTTTCCACTCAGTTTTCGCATTCTACTCAGTTTTCCACTCAGTTTTCGCTCATGTGCACAGAGGCCTGTTTATTTCATGTAGTCATTTACCTTCTATTCTCAATGTCATGTTGTCCCAATGGTTATATTAACTGAACAATCTATCATCTTCTGTTGGCTCATTTGTGCATGGATGTGTGTAATGTGTAAACGGGTAATAAAGCATAAATATTGAGCATGGGGGGAGTGATCTGCCGCCTGCTGACACTGTACACAGTAAGTTGAAAATGCACCGTAATGCCCGCTGCACCACAGGCATGCACAGGCACTGTCCAGAACCTGATGGAGGCCTATACGATGCTGCAACACAGCCCCCTTAGTCTTTATAGTCAACAAATCATCTGTTGTCAGTTGGTGTCGTTATCCCACTTAATCACTCGCTTGTCGCTTCAGGGTTCATCGTAAATCAAACCAAAGTCAGGCTGCAGTCAGGATATGAAGGGATACAGCTCCTTAATGTGCATTCATTCATCTCTAACTGCACATCAACATGCTTTTTTTTTTTCTCTATTCTCTTTATTTTTTAACCCTGGCTTTAGCAACAACAGCAGCGATCATATCTGTGATGAGGATTAGAAAGGCAACAGTGACACAGCGGGGAGAGGAATGGGAGTGGGGGATAAGAGCTGGATGGGATCAGGAGCTGACTTGTCACCAACTGTTATCAGACAGTAGTTCATTGCAACTATGTCAGGATCTGGACCCTGAACTGCAACTTTGAGCTGCCATCCTCCCTCAAGATGTTACTTTCAATGTCAGAACCCGGAGTCCTTCTCTCTCACCAAAGAGCCACAGGATGGTCAGACTGATTTAGGCATACTGAGGGGAGCATTGAGGCGTGACTCGAAACAAATGGGATTGGTCTCGATCACTGTTTCATCAACACAGAGAAGACATGGCATTATGTTATTGCTGCTGTCTGTCGTAATCTCTGATTTTCGTCACAGAGGTTGAGACATTTTTTTTTTCGCGTTTATCTGCCTGCAACTTAATGAGCTTACACAGGGGCATACCATGTGTTTATGGGGGAAAGGCCTAAATCAGAAATGATGTCACGCACAAATAGTCCCATCACACATGGTGTGTTGTCCTGACGCACATAACAAATATACACTTAGGTGAGTTA